CGGGCTTGGGACGACATGAGGGAGAGTCATTAATGACATCATTTTCATTTTTGGGTGAACTAACCCTTTAACAGTTGTAAAATCCCTGTAACACAATCTCACGTGGCTTATTACTTTATTCGCCGTACCTGACCAATGCCAACACAGTGTCTGAAGATTCTGCCGGTGACGGCGCCATGACCACCAACGCTTCACCCAGCAACACAAGCTCCCACAACATCTGGATATGAAAAAACACTGGATAGAAACACCTGCAACATGAGAAACAGTGAGAACAGCAAACAGTTACAGAACAGATCAACATGAAACTAATGGATGCTGAAATGAAAAGGTTTTGTTTACTTAACACCATATAATGTGCGATTTGGGGTTATAATGATTTTTGCAGATTAATTGTATAAACATACTATAACCAACACACTGCCATTCAAAAGTTTAGAGTGAGAACGATTTTTAATTTTGGAATGAAATTAATACTTTTATTCACCAAGGATGCATTAAATTGATCAAAAGTGACAGTAAATGCATTTAAAATGTTACAAAATACTTAGAAAGAAAGAACAGCATTTATTTCAAATATATTTAAAAAAAATTATCACGGTTTCTACAAAAATATGAAGCAGCACAACTGTTTTTTAACATTGATAACAAGAATAAGAAATGTTTCAGCAAATCATCATATTAGAATGATTTCTGAAGGATCATGTGACTGGAGTAATGATGCTGAAAATTCAGCTTTGATCACAGGATTAAATGACATTTTACAATATATTCAAATAGAAAACAGTTGTTTATATTGTTAATATTTCACCTTTTTTTTACTGATCAAATAAATGAGCATTGATTAGAGATAATATCCTACCGACCCCAAACTTTTGAATGTCCGTGCACTTTTCTCAGCTACCAACAGGAGGCCCCAGAGGACAAGCAACAAACACATCCAGCCCAACTATATAATATAGTACACTGTGTACCATTCACAGTAGCACACAGTAAATGTGCTTTACCTGAAGAGATCTACTTCATGGACGGTCGGCAAGACAATGGACACCAGACTGTCGCTCTGCGAATGAAAGATTAGACTCCATTACGTAAGAGCAAACTGACATCGACTCTGCAGAATATGACAAATCAGCACCATCGCCTACAGGCCTGGCAGAGCCAATGCTTTTCATACCGGTGTGGACTGGACGAGCTGAGAAGTTCCAGGCTTGTCATAACATGTGGGGATGCGTAGCTGAGGAGAGCAGATGGCAGTGTTCGTTATTAAAGAGTTTCACAGTTTCACAGACTTGGCTAGTATCTCACAAAGATTACCTTCATGACCACACCCATGATGGGGAGCGTAAGAATCTTCCCTGGGCACGGCGTGGGCCACCGGTCGATGTCATTGCAAGCTTTAATGTTAAAAACAAAAACAATTAAAGCTGCGAGCAGCATTTAGCGGCGTTCAAGCATTTAAGGCCTTTAGGCACATAAGCATTAAAGACATTAAGTTTAATTTAGCAAGCATTTAACCAGTGACATCATAGATGGAAAAGACCATTTACAGCCAATTTACCATATTAAATGCATGGTTTTTAAGCTTTGTAACAGTTATAGCGCCACCTATGGTCCGATCGCCATGAACCTTTGCATGCTTCTTCAGAATGTTATGACACATATGCTCATCAATTTTTGTTAAGTTCTGAGTTTTCCTTTAGGATTTATAGGCTTTTGAGTGTATTTTGTCACGCCCCTTTTCTAAATGGCTTTGTTACAGCCACCCAAATGCAAAAGTTCAGAGTCCAGAGAATTGCCCTAGACTGGTTTGGTTCCGATCGGGGGGAAAAACCAGGGACTAGTTCGCAAAAGTAGGTTTTGGACAAAATTCGACATAGCAGAACATTTTTGCTGCCTAAATCGAAATTGGAGATATACATTTTGTCCTCCTTGAGCCAAGGATCACAGTGGTTATGAGCGTTTTTGTACTTTTGGTTGCTGTAGCGCCACCTATGGGCCAATCGGGGTCATACTCTGATAGGTTCTCCCTAAATTGAGGCCTACCATCTGGCCAGGTTTCAAGTCTCTAGCTCTTACGGTTTGGTCTGCACGATCAGTTTTACAAATCCTTACAATTACAATAGGGTTTCAGCACTTTGTGCTTGAACCCCTAATAATTAACAAATATCAACAATACATTTTTGTGAAATATTTTGCTATGCAGTTACTGTTTTTGAGGTGTTTCTGGTGGCAAGATATGGCAGGGAAGTGTTGCATTGTGGTTATGGTTGATTACAACCATTACAAGTGAAAAGCACCAGCTCCTTTTCAATGCAAGTCTACTTTTTTTTTTGCTTGTTTGTTTTCTATCCACCACACAAACATCCAATCAAAGTGCAGGATGAGTTAAGCAAGTTTCGTATACATGATGATTTTGAAATGTTGTACTAATAATGATGCTTGATTTTGCAAAGAGCACTAATGATGCAGAGTTTGATTTGTTATCAGAATTGGTTTGTTTGTCCATGTTTTCAGGACTCACCGGCCTCTAAACACGGCTCCTGTTTCTCGAAGTATTCCGGGGCGATGAGCTTCAGCAAAGAGTGGAAAAAGGTCACGTACGGCAGCTTGCTGATGAGGACCAGAGACTGGAGGAGAGACACACATGCATACATGATGAGAGAAAGGTCAAGAAGTTCACAAATCCTCTCAGGATACAGGCCAGAACACAACAGACGAGATCTTAAAGGAATAGTTCAGCTAATAGTTCATTCTCAGACTGGCATACATTCTAATATCAGTCCCTCCAGAAAACCGTGATTATGCGATCGCATGATTTAGTGCATAATCAGCCAAAGTCCGCATATTTATGCGGGGGCCGCATTTGTTCAAATACGCCGCACTTTCGCCACATAAATTGCAGATTTCCGTGCAAAATATGCGGGGCTTGCATGATTTCATAATCCTCGCATTTTTGTTGCAAAAAAGTTTGCTTCACACAAGAGCAGCCATTCCCCCCTGTTGCCATGGTAATTACGCGGCGTGAACATCATCGAAAAGCTGTAAAACAGGAGCACACTTTATTTTTATTTTTTTTATTTATTAATTTTCACAGAAGTTGTAGCATATTCCTTTTGTAAAGCTACAGAACTTGTTTGACTCATCAATGTTTTATAAGTTTGATATGTTTATTAAGGTCTGAAAAATAACAAGATGAGAACTTAAATATTCCAGCACTTTCTGTGATGTAGTTATGCTTGCTTATCATAGGAAGTAATAAGAAATTACTCTTTACATTAAGGTAGTAGCCTAGTGAGAACAGTGTTGGGGGAATCAAACCGCAGTTTTTGCAAGTTCCCGCAATTTCATCGCATAAAGTTGCATAAATATCCCGCATATTCCATCGCATTTTTTAAGAAAACGGGCCGCATAATCAAGGATTTTTGCCCGCAACAATCACAAAAAAACTCTGCGTTTTTCTGGAAGGACTGTAATATGCTGCATAAACTACTTTTAAGACACATTAATGTGTGATTTAAAGTCATTTCTGGAGCTTAATTTCATTGTATGTACATCATAATTGATCCTTCAGACTTCTATGGCTCATATAGTATGATATGGCGAGATTATTGAGAAGAAAAAAAATCAATTCTAATAAGAGACCCAAATGGTGCAAAAATATGCAATTTGGTGCAAATGCTGATATTTATATGGTCAAAAAGTAAGATGAAATTCTAATAGCTTGTAATGTAAATCAATTAGATCTTTTTGACACTAATGCAGACGCTTACATTAAATGCATATAAATATCAGTCGTCACTATATATCAACCAAAATATATTTAAATGCTTAGTTTTATGATCAAAGCTCTGTAGTTAAAACATAAACCAATGCAATACAATAATGATTGAGAAATGAAATCAAAAGCCTGATGGATCATATTTGATTTAAAAATGATGTATGGATAGTGTTCATCTTGAAACATTACTAATAATATAAAAGTTATTCTTATGTTTACATTACTTAATAAAAAACAGTAAATATTTAACCACACTAAAAGGACATTTACTTGCTTAAAAAGTATTAACTATCAAATTAGATGACAGAAGGCATGTAGTAGATTGTGTGCAACAGATTTTCAGCAACATTTTGATCATGTTGATCATTCAGAGGCTTTATAATTTTGTGTATCAAATATAATACAGTAGGCTTTATAGATTTAAGGACCAAATGCAGATGCATCAGAAATCAGTTGGAAGTGGAAAAACAACAACTGTAGAGTAGCTAACATCGTTCCGTTAGCAAAGAAAACAAACTGGGTTGTGTCGGCTCATGTCAAAAACCACAACGTTTTATAAAAGCTCAGTGAATCACCTCAAGAATTGCATAAGAAGCCGCAGGGCAGAAAAGGTCCCAGAAAGCACCTGTGTCTTCAAAAATAACGAGAATTAAAGGCTCTTGAAAAATTCCAGAACTACCAGCTAATCTCCGCCTCTATTTTAAGGGTGTGAACAACGTTCGCGCCGCTGGTGATAGATCAGAATCACACTTCAGAAAATCAGACGCAGGATGCTCGTGTGGTGTTGGGACTTGTTCAGTGCTGTGCTTAAGCGTAGCTGGCAGCGAAGGTAAAGATACTAAAACATGGGAAGCAAACTTGGGAGAAAATAGAGCGAAAAACCATTTGAGGCTTCTCACAGACTAACGTCTAAAAGTCTATTTTTTCTTTATGAAAGTTGTGGGAACACTATCATAGATTTTTTCTAGAAATGGAAACGAAAAAATATTGCTGTAGTCTCTCGGTCATGGTTATAGAGCGCAGCACTCGGGATACATAAGTAAAAACTAATTTTCTTCCTAGGGAAATTGATTTTTAACGATACACGCACATATAATGCTTTATGGGAGAAATGTATGGACAAAAACACTGTTGCACACGACTTGTGCTTCTGAGAACCCTGGAAATGTGAAAAGGGTCCATTTGAGTAGATGACAGGAACATAATGTGTATAAATTAAGATATAATGTGCACCAAATGACCAGGAATTAGCTCTTGGGTGGATAATACAAAAAAAGCTTCTTTGGAGTTGTTTATTGCTCAAATAGCAGAGCGTTGGCGCTTGCCACGCCAAGGTCATGGGTTCGATTCCCAGGGAAAGCAAGAACTGATAAGAACGTATATGTGTACCTTGAAATGCAATGTAAGTCGCTTTGGATAAAAGCGTCTGCCAAATGCATAAATGTAAATGTACAACAACTACCAAATGTCACTTTAAATCCATCCCTTCCCTGATCAACTCAATGGGCCCTATTTTAACGATCTGAAACGCAAGTAACTTTGTGGGCGGGTCTTGGGCGCTGTTGCTGTTTTACCGGCGGGATAAATGACTCTTGCGCCCGACGCAAGTTTAAAAGGGGTTGGTCTGAAATAGCTTCATTATTCATAGCTGTGGTTTGGGCGTAACGTGAAATAAACCAATCAGAGCGTCATCCAACACACCCTTTAAGAGAAGGCGCGCATGTTGCATGGCAGATTGTTATTATTATGGCGGATTTACCAGGCGCGCGCCAGGAGCGGTTCACAGCCGAGGAGACCGACGTTCTTGTCAGGGCAGTGAAAGACAGAGAAGTGACGTTGTATGGGGATGGGAGATTTTTTTTTCCTGGTTCTTGACGGACAAACTAATTTGGCAGATGTCCTTATATACATGTGTGTCTTGCCACTATTGGCAAACAGGTCTGATCCAACATTACTACGATTAGCCTGAAAAATGTGGGTAAATGTGTAAGCTAGATTTAGGCCTACATTTTTTTTTTACATCTTCATGGACACCACAATGATTTCCCTCATGTGTTAATATTTTTCCTTGTTATAATGTATGATTTGCAAAAATAAAAACTGCTGCATCTGTGTTGATGAGAGAATCAAAGTGTATGCGCGTTGTGCACCGCTACATTATGGCCAAGCATGCGCGCTTAAAATAGCATTATGAACAACGCGCGACGCGCCAATTGTTTTCTGGAACTGCAAAACAGCACTAGGGAATGTTTGCGCCGAAACACGCCTCCTTTTTGCACCGACCCGCCCAGGGAGCACAAGTTCATTCCCTAGTTTACCGGTGTGCGTCTGTGGAGGGAAAAGCCCGCTTTGCGCGGGTGCAAAATAGGAATGATACATGCGTCAGTGTACAAAGTCATTTGCGCCGGGTGCAAGATAGGGCCCAATGTCTGTCATGAGGCATCAGGTTCATGGTGAGGGCCAAATCATCTTGGTCGTACCTTCTGAAAGTAGCCCCTCTTGAGCGACTTGTCTCGCACTTGTCTGAAGTACACATACCCGTAGTAATAACCCTGATCTCTCTGTGGGAAAGAAGAAAAACATGCACATTTCCTCTTATTAGTAATGACATGCAGGGTTTGAAATTAACTTTTCACTCAATTTGGCTACTACATTTTTCAAATTCAAGTTACTGGCCATTCAGAACTTCTACTAGCCCCCAAAAAAAGAAGAAGAAATAAACCAGATTAACTAGGCCACAGCAAATATAGATTTCATACATTCATTTCTTATTCAAACAAAATCCTGTCATCCAGCCATCTCCTCCCTTCCCTTTTCATCCTCATCATTTTCACCAAAAATGTTAAACAGATCAATACAGTACAAAGAACATAAAAAAATGTGGGATGTTGGAAAATACCAATGTCTTTTCTGTTAATCAAAATCTGTTTAATCTCCGCTATTAATTCAATGAAAATGAACAAGTGCGCCGTTATTTTCTGCGTAGTGACGTGTGTGTTCAAGTAAGCACAGATTCTGCGCAATAGGCTACGCTGTATTTAATTATTAATATTTAGTATTTGGACTAAATTTGCGCAGATTTGGATTACATAAACTTCCCCAGCAAAGTGAGTATAAGTAACCTGCCAAATTGGCTAGTGATTTGACAGTGTTAACCGCCAGTTGATTTTTACCCGCATTTGACGGGTGTTAATTTCAAACCCTGATGACATGTAACAAATTACTTGCAGAAGTATTTTAGTGACATTATGATTAATTTTGGGCAGTGGTTCTCAAACCTGTCCTGGGGACCTCTCGCCACTGCACATTTTGCATGTCTCCCTCATCAGACACACCCAATTCAATGCTGCGTCCCAATTCGCATACTATCCGTCCTAAACAGGCTTTATGCCGAGCGTCACGTGACCAAACCGCAAAACGGGTCTCATTGCATCCGCTTGTCAGAGAAAGTGTTAACGGCCGTAAGAACTAACTACGATATCTATGGATTTTTAAGGTAATCAGCTAACCTACTAAGTTCACTTTGTTATTGGTGTTTTATGCTGTTTAAATATCTAAACGTTAGTGTGAAGAAGAAAAATGAAAAAACTTTTAAATATCAATCTCCACATGCGAGGGACATTGGTTATGCTCATTTTTGCTTGCTCCTTTTAAGTTATCTTGAGTAAAATCGCAAAAAATTTCATGAAGCACATACAAAAGACCTGAATCGGAAGCGATGTGATCTGTTTTCCGGCTTGGTCACGTGATGCTCGGCATAAAGCCTATAGTATTCGAATATAGAATTAGTACGTCCCAAATCGTAGTATGTTGAAATGAGTGTCCCAAAGAGACCCGGATGGTCTACTATATCCGGTCAGAATCCGAAGTGCAGATCGATGCACACTCTAACGGCTGATATTGCCCACAACCTACCGCACGTTGGACGAGGATTCGGTCAGAACTACAAACACGAGTGAAAAGTGTTTAAAAAAACTACAGACATGGAGGACATGCGAGTCCGACGGTTATGTAGAGAGGTTTAGATAAAGGGGTTTAAGTGATTAATTATCAGTATCTAACCTGACGAAAATGTATTTATTCAATGTTGTCTACATTATTATATTGCATCTGCAGTAGCATTGTGAACTTTTGTAAAGATACGTTTATAGCCATTAACTTTTAAATGCATCATTACATTCAAATTGCAAACACATGAGGAGAGTCTCGGCATGAAAGACCCACGACTGGCAGATGAACGTGCGACAACATTTCTCTCCGAAATGGTAAGAAATTATATTAGATTGAATGGAGGATTTGAACTGTGATGAGATGATTGACAGGGCAGTTTACGGTGAGAGGATGCACGCGACAGATCTGTCCGGTAAAGATGACGAAGTAGTATGTCCCAAAGCTTGCCTTCTCCTTTGCTACACACTCAAAAGTATGTACTTTTTCTTCACAAAAAGAGTACATACTTTTAGGGCGTAGTATAAGTAGGCAAATTGGGACGCAGCCCAAGTCTTGCAGTCTGTACTAATGAGCTGATAAGTTGAATCAGGTGTGTTAGGTGATGGAGACTTGCCAAACGTGCAGTGGCGAAGGGTCTCCAGGACAGGTTTGAGAACCACTGATTTAGGGCAATCTGAATGAACAAGGAGTTAATGTCGACGTCCCCAACAGTCAGCACTGACCTTGAGACAGACCGGCGCATCTCGCTCGAAGTGGTCGAGGAAACATCCGAGTGAAGACTTTCTGCCAGTGGCTTGCCGGAACCGGAAGCAGAACTGTGTGTCCCCCAGACAACCTGTGACCAGACACACAAACACTCACGTTTATCTGCAGAACTACACAGCGCAAATGTGCACAGACTGAATCAAGGACGTTTTATAGAAACCATGCTTGTTTTTTTCAAACCAAATCTGACTTATTAACTTCAACCACAATATTATTTAGTCTGCCAAAACATTGTGTTCGGCATCATCTCTCAGAAATAAAGGCCAAGGATGCAAAATTATTATATCGCTAATAGGCTTCAGTTTGCATCACAGTACAGCAAAGCCTCACTTGCCATGTTGTACAATAGACAAAAGCTATGAAGACACTTTAAATTGTTGGGAGTTTTTGAATTTTACTTTTCCATTTCCATCAATGTTTCCATAATTAAAAAAGAGACTTTAAATTGTAAATGTGCATGCACTAAACCTTTATACAGTCAACTTTTAAGATGAACTAGAAAATATGGCCTCAAAACACATGCTTAAAAAACACAAAACAACAACAGAAAGAGTACATATTGATTTCATTGGGTCTTTAAGCAAATTTGACGGTAAATCACTATGAATAAAACTAAACTTCAGATTTAAAAAAATTACCCCCACACACATATATATATACATTATTTATAAAAAAATGTATTACATGCATGTGTATATTATATATATATATATATATATATATATATATACATTACACACACATACATGTAATAAAAACATTTATACATAAAGTATATACACATACAAGTAATAAATGTATAAATAATGTGTGTGTGACAAAAAATATGTTATTAATTGTAACATAAATGACATAATAAAATACAATCTTTACTTAATCTGTAGCTCACTCTGTAGTCTCTATGATGTGTAACAAGGGAATGACATTTTCAGGTCTTCCAGATATTCACAAATAATCAAACACAAGACCCAACATCCATAAGTTAAGAAACCATCTGGACATTATTCTAGAAGAACCAACAGTATCATCACTTCAGGCTGTTCTGATGTCCCGGGCCCGATCGCTCCGGTTTAGATTAGGACAGGCATGTTTGTGTGTGTTCGTCTCTATTTTTGGCTTCTCTGCGTACAGTGATGTGTGTGGGCCACAAGGAACAAGGAAGGTGGTTTGAGCGAGTGTGAAACCGGATTACTGGATCTATCTGCAGGCCGTGACTGATGGATTACCTCATCCTCGCCTTTAACCCTTTCCTCAACACCACGGGAGTCTATAAAAAGCAGCGTTTACACAATATTTAGAGTTAATCCTACTGAATGCAGTTCAGCACACAACAACGTCCAACTACACGCTTGTTACATGCCAGATCGAGAAACCTCATTTAAATAATGACCAAGAGGTACAAGATGATCAGGACAATCATTTCATAAATAATTATGCTTCAACCCATAACTAGGGCTACATCTATTATGATAATTAAAGTGGCCAGAACATGGAAAAAACTAAAGGCAAAGAAATAAATAGGTTGACAAATATAATTTTTACAGATATACACGGGCACAAAATAGTCATGGTTGTGTGACATTTTATTCATTCATTTTTTATAATTGGACCACAATTTAAGTATTAATATTCTACGAGTTCCAGTATAATGTACTTACACTGTAAAAAGTAGTGAACAAAATAAAGATTTCTGGAGTATGTTTTACAAGAAAATACTTTTTCAGTCTTTCTTTTTCAAAATGTCACATTTAATTCAGTGTTGCTTGCCGTTCCTTTGGAATTATTTGTCACATTTACTAGAAATTTCAGTGAAAATTGTTTCTACACCAGTGTAGAAACAAAACGTGCACTTCATACATGGAGTCTCATCCATGATCATTATAAGACATTGACAGATTTAGCGAACACGAGTGAAATAAACGCAGTTGGCTGCATTGCTGCGGAGAGAGTGAACAAACACCTAATGTCTCACAACAGATGCACTTCTTCACATCTGATAGGGTGACAGGAACTCTGTTGCCACAGCAACCCACATGCTTTTCTCGTGCCTCACTCACAGCATGCGAGAAAACATGCTAACGCACACCAGAAATTTCCATATGCACAGCCTGACCCACAAACACTGGCATCTGACTCTTGGCCGGGAAAGGAACTGATGTCTGAGATGAGAGGCATTTTCACAATGGAATCAGTGAATCACAGGCTATGAGAACTGGATGCGAGACTCGCAAGTCAAATCAGGTTTGATTAGGTCACATTTATCATACGTTTACAACAGTGTAGAATGTCTCATTCACATGTATTAAAGCAATAAGACAAAATAAAATCACTGCATTCCAATGATTTTTCCACGGTTAAAGGATGTCATTCGATAGTTTGGGGTCGGTAAGATTTTTGGCTCCATTTATTTAAAAAATACAATAAAAACAGTAATGTCAAATATTACAGTTCATATTAAAGGTTTTCTATTGTAATATATTGTAAAATGGAATTTATTCCTGAATTTTCAACATCATTACTCCAGTCTTCAGTGTCACATGATCCTTCAGAAATCACTCTAATATGATGATTTGCTGCTTAAGATTATCAAGGATGAAAACAGCTCCTTTTTTATTTTATTTTAACTGTGAAACATTTTTTTCAGGATGAATAGAAAGTAAAAAAATCAGCATTTATTTAAAATAGAATCTTTTTTAAAGCTGCAGTCCGTAGCTTTTCCTCTTTGTCGCCATCTGTCTGTTCGAAATCTGTAACTGCAGTGATTCGCGGAATTATCATCTTTACGTGGGTTGTAAATCGGCATGAAACAGCGCGGATGAACACAGTGCTTTGAGGCGAGTGCTGCTGTCAGTCACCGCGCTGTGTGGATAGCCTACTGTCATACAGAATCACAGATTCACTTTTTGAAAGTTTGACCAACATAAGAATTTTCATAAGAAAATGTCTTCTGAACAAGTAAGTAACATCCATTTTTGTTCTGACCAACTAAGGGGGAAAAAGCATTCGACATGATAAGCTTCGTTAGATTTAATCAACGCGATTTACAGCAACCGTGCAAATTATAGCCTACTTTGTTCTCAAATTCATGTTAACAACATCACATCAGCATAGCGTGACTAATGTTAAATTTAATGTGTTTTATGGTTACCTGTGTAGTTCAGAATTCATATTCTCCATAATAGCAAAACGAGAAAGGCACAACAAAGGAAACTCCATAACTGTGAATTAAGAAAACGTACTGTTACACGATTGAACTATTGAAATGTCTTACTTGTTCAGCAGAAAAAAGCCGTCTCTTCTTCCGTTTTGAACCCCTTCAAAACACGGAGTTCACGCACTTTTCAAAAGCCCTGCCGATGTTTAAATCCTTGTGTTCGCATGAGACGGTTTCTTTCTCTTTCTCTAGCCACCTTAAATCCGAAGTACGAAGTCTTTTGGGTTTTATAACTGCTGAATCTCCAGTTGACACTGATGATTGTTGTTTGGATCTTTCTGGATGCCATAAGTTTAATTATGTAAAGTGCTGCGAGAAAAGCCTATACATCTAAACATCTCGTCACGCGTAGTATAGCCGAAGGAGCCGAAACTCCTTCTTTATGTGTACGGATGTGACGTACTGACGCAAAGACATGCTCGAATTTCCCGCGGAAACCCACCAGTACCACTGGAATTAAAATCATTATTACAAGCTAACCGGTTTGAATCTAGCTATGGCAAGCAGATAGTTTTGACCACTGGCAGAATAAGTTTTTTTTTAATATAATTATTTTGGATAATTTTTAACTTAAAAAAGTTACGGACTGGAGCTTTAAAATTTGAAATGTCTTTACTGTCACTTTTGATCAATTGAATGCATTACTGAATAAAAGTATTAATTTCTTCAAAAAAATATTTTTACTGACAGATTTTTGAATGCCAGTGTACTTGATGAGATCAATTTTGATTTCATGTTGACTTCTACAATGGTAAAATCATTGTATGTGCAAGTAATATGATAAATGTTAAAAAACATTTATCATTAATATGATAAAAAACCAATATTAATATATTTAAATACATGTATATTAAACGATAAAAATAATCAGAAAGCCTTTCAGAGCCTTGCTGCAAATATACTACAATCAATGTGCCACCACAATCTTTAAATGTTACTCATCCGCTCAGATTTTCAGAGCTGGAACTATCGATATGATAAAATTGCTTTTTAACTAGCTTGTAAAATATGATACACATTTGTGCTTTCAACAAGACATGCTACATCCTGTAAGATAGTGTATAGTACGCGAGCTGAAGTGAGTAGAATGATGGGATAGGGTATCTGCTCATACATCGGGTTCTCCGGTTTCAGAAAGACGACAACAGGATCAATGTCACACTGGGAGACTCACTAGAGAGTGAACTCCACAAACACACACACACCCAGAGTAAGACCGTCTGCGTGTTTACAAAGTCATTAACAGGACTGTCCTGTAATCTTCAAATCCTGTTCCTCCCCGTTTGTGCCTCATCGCTATTAATAACCCAAGTTTATTTCAAACTAAATTAACACGAGCTGAATCTGTGTGAAGAAGATCAGAGATGTCATTTTTTATCACAGCTGAGATTACTGTGGAAAACAACACCGACCGGCCGCTCTATTTACAATATTGACCAATGCCGCGGAGGACTTTTGCTAGAGATAAGCACAGTTGTCAACATAAAAACATTTTTTTATTGAAAAAAATAATAAAATAAAAAATGTGCTGTGGCCAATGAGTTTTAAAGGATAAATTAATCTAGAAATAACATTCTGTCTTCATTTATTCATTACTCAAATCGCATATATATATATTCAAATATACAGCGTGAAGATGCATCATGCCATGTTTGACATCAATTATAATGTTGCATGTCTCAAAACTGATTATGCATGGGAAAAAGCGTTCAACATTTCTTCTTTTGATTTCCACAGAAGAATATTTGGAATGATATGAGGATGAACATTTTAAATTTTAATTTTTAAAAATAGCAAGATGTTTTTAAAGATGTTCCACAAGCACAATGATAAAATTATTTTTAGAATAAAATAAAAACATAAGCGGGACTTTTAAAAGAACAACATAACCGCAAGCTGTTAGTATAAGATCTGAGGAGCATCAGAAGAATCTCAGCTCAAAATCAACAGGGTGATTCCTTAACATTGACCTTACTCAGTAACAATAGTGAACGGAGGAGAAAATATACTGTTACAGAGTATCTGTTACAAATGCACATATTGACCTACCAAGTGACGGTTCATTAATATCTCTAATACAGAACAGTCAGATAGCATTTCACAACCCACGCTGTGAGTTCATTTCTGAATATGAATGTGCTTGCTGGAGAGAGAGGATGTCGAGGTCTCATCCCACACACATTAGTGTAAGACACACGGGTCATAGTACTCACTCAGATGAATTACAATCCTCTAGATCAAACCTTAACGTAGGAAAACACACTACACACATTCTACAACTGCACTGCTTAATCACAACACAGACACTTTGAGCACAAGACAGACTCAAATACAGTATGGAAAGTGATTGACATTTATGCCAGTTTTAAAAATACATTAATAATAATAATCACTGAGAGAAGAATCATCTGAACTGCATTATAAAATACAAAGATACTGAAAAAAACATGATAGCTGAATAAACTTCCTTTCCATTAGCTTTCAGCTTTGACTCTGTGATCTACTAAACGTTTCAGAGTCAAAACATTAAGGCCTGGGGCCTGTACCATGATGGTAGTTGAACAAACTCAGGGTTACAGGATTAGTTTTGAGTTGACAAAACCAAACCAATCCAACCAGGCTATGTTGGTACCATGACACTCATCATCAACTTTCTCTGTCAACTCAGGCTTTGATCCTGAGTTTAGGAGTGATATCAGTAGCGAACAGCCAATCACATGCTGAGAAAGAGTGAAACTGAGATTAATTTCTCGCGAGAGAAGCAGTGAGATTCACATCTCTCTTTTGCAAGAATATTACAAGATTGAAAAATAGTAAGAATTTAAACAAATTTACACAGCAAGAAGAAAATAGCTGTCTATGAAAGAGGATAACTAAAAAGTCTGCTATATCAGTGCAAGTAAAAGTTGTGAAGTTAGTTTATACAATTGATAAAGGTATTATCAATAGGAGTGAATTGAACATTTAAGATCACATGTAGTAAATGTATAGTTTATCTATTGATTCTAAAGCATATTTATATTACATTTATATATTTATTAATTTAAACTGTGCATACTAAAAATTGTTTAACTAAAATTGTACATGTGTGATCGATTAAGGTTATAATAATTACATAAATAATATCCAGATCATACAACATTTTTATTCTAAATAAGTATTAGTAAAAGCCAGACAATTTTGTATTCAAAAATCATTTGCCATGTAGTAACCTTAATTTGGAGTAGAAACAGGTGCAGTGACTTTATCCTATCAGACATGCGTCACTTTGCTCACAGCTGATTGGTCCAAGTTCAGTTTAAGATCTCTTACCTGGAACATAACCTGCCCCGGACCAGGTTAGCCGTGGAGTGTGAGTTACTATGGTGATGAACACTGCTAAAAGCCAAACCACTTTCATGGTACCTAAAACCCTGGGTACTTAGCGCAAACTAAACTGAAACATAGCTGGCTAGCCACCTAAACCGGCTTCATGGTATAGGCCCCAGGTTTCACAGACAGGGCTTAGATTAAGCCAGGATTAGGCCCTAGTTTAATTAGGACATTTAAGTAGCTTTTATAAATGTGCCTTAGAAAAAAAGACTGGTGTGCATCTTGAGACAAAAAATGACACTGACATATTTTTAGATATGACAGTGCAAGTTGCTTTCAGTTAAAACCACTCAAACATGCATTGTAGTCTAGGACTAGGATTAAGCATTCTGTGAAACCAGGTGACAACATCTGTGCATCAAATGTTCATTATTCACAGCAGACACGTGAAGAAAAGGCATAGTGAAGAAATGCAATTTTACCTGAATTGGAGTCTGGGAATGAGAGATAGCATATACTTGTTTTCTAAAATGAGAGAAACAAAAGAACACTCAATATTGACTTATTAATGGAATTAATGGTTTTATCCAGCTTGATAATATAAAACAGAAAGCTTTTGTACCTCTTTTTCGGTGAGTTTGGAGTGGTGTGGGTAGATCACCTGCAGTAGAAAGAATAACAAGGAAAATGTGAGAATGTATTTTTAAAACTGCATTTCACTAAAATATGCATAAATGGCACATAGTAGTAATTGTTAGTCATGGCCATTGATGCCTTTCGAGTCGAAACATTGAGGGAGACTGAACGCTAAAATCACCTTTTACAGTTGGCTTTACTTGGTTGTATAAGATGTTTTTGTTGTTGTGGTTGTGAAACCAAGCTTTAGGAATGGACAATAATGATCTTATTCAGTTTGGAGTTCAGTAGTTGTTGTTGTCTTTTATTCTAAGTATCTAAGTGCCTAAGTTCAGACAACTGATGATTAGATCAACACACTGAGTATTCAGGACAGATAGCAGTCCTGATAAACCCTTAGCTGTCAGACAAACAAACTACACACATAATGTGCACAGACATCAGATTATTACATCAGGAAATGGCACAATTAAACGAGAATATGTTTAATGCACAAATGTGTCAAAGCTACTGAAACCTTTCAGACGTATTGACCCAAATATTTCCGATGAACTGCTTACACTGGTTCAGCAGCATCCATATATTTGTACTTTTTGATGACTCAACTATTTTTTTGTTAGCAATAGCCACAGATGCTAGCAGGTTTTTCCATTGACTTCCACACAGTTAGCCGGCTAGCAGGCGAACTCACAGCTGACAGCAGAACAGACAGCACTAGTATGACAGTTTTCTGTACCTCCACAGCTTGCCCGAGCTCCAGATCGAAGCCGACCACACAGATGCAGTGAAGCCAGGAGGAGAAGCGATCCCACGGCAGCAGTAACGGCTCCGGCTCCTCTAGTGCTGGAGGCCCATCGACGGGCATTTCCTCGGCCGGAGAAACTCTCAGCGTGTCTTCTGGCTCCTCGAGCTGATCTTCCAGTTCCCCAGACCCCTGAAAGGCCATGGTGATACCCTCAGGTGGGTTCGGACTCGGTTTATTGATGAAAACTACAGGAACTTGAGCTGTAAATACAAACACGTCCAGGATGAAAGGGGCGGGGCTTGCGTGGAGAGCGTGCTGGCGTCATGAGTGAGCTCAAGATCTGTACGGGAGCGCGCACGCAGCCACAGTATCCTGTATGATATGTGTATAATGGTGATGTCCTTTTTTTAATTTACGAATGACATTTTAGAATGTAAAGAACAAAACATTGCGCAAATTATTTATTTTATTAGAAAAACATCATAAAAAGAAGTCGTCTCCTTTGCAAACCAAATTTCCAAAAAACAAATGACTTTTTAAATTATACATAAATCTTTTTGGAATTCTGAAAATTAAAGCACTGAAATGTATGTATTTTCCCCCCTTAATTGTTCTTGTGGTATTGAATAAAAAAATGAGTTATAACTCTTAATTATTTAAACAGGCTTATTTATGATTGCTCGTTGAGCAATATCTTGTTCTTCTGTGTATATTATGCTTTGTCTAATGTTATGCTGATGTTTTTAGGAAGATTTGTAAGGTGACCTTGAGTGAAAGGCACCTATAAACAAAATGTATTATTATTAATATTTTTTATTTAGACAGAAAGCATAGACAGTTCATGCAACTGTGAAAAATATATAAAAAAAAATAATATAAAAAATAATAATAATTATCTCATAATTCAATCTTTGCATATTAATGTAGGCTAATTTATTTAATCCAATAATGTAATTTGTATGTCAAAATGGTTTAATTTTTGGCTTAAATATAGTTTTATAAGACTTATATGTGGACTTTGCACACTTGCTGAGAGTAATATTTTTTTTTGTTATGTAGTTAATATTGTGGCCTATAAGTGGCACTTTAACATCTTATAATGTCCCATGTGCATCATTGAACCACACCATTGTTTGCATATGTTCCAGTGATCACTTAATTACTTCTTATGGGTCACATAAGAACCAAGACAAAGCAATTGGATTAGCCTTAGCAAGACATTCGAGTCAAATCAGCATGCTCTATTTGGAATGACAGATGTTCAGTGTAATTTAGTCCACAGATTCCAAATCCAAACAGAGGGACTGGGGGCGGGGTTAGCTTTGAAACCCTCTCCTCCTTTCTGAAACAAAAATACTTTCGGTTGATTTTGAACTCCAAAAATAACTTTACTTTTACTGGGAGCCTGGAGCAAGAAGCACCTTCCAATTGCTTTGATTCAGCCAGTATATGCATTTGTTTTATACTGTCTGTTTTATAATTGGTTAATAAATATTAAGTAAACACTCTTCAGTTTATGTATATGCCATATGTAGCCTATACTTTTTTTTTTTAAATGAATATGTTGGACCAGAGAGTGAGGGAAAAGTGGCCAGCATTGATGGGAACTCCTTCAGTGCTGTTTTTAAAAGGGATTCTAGGATGCACCTCACAAGAATTTACCTAATATTCATAAAGGTTGTGATCATTTTAATACGGACATTTAGACAGAAATGTAATACAAAATAAATAAATAATGTTTAAATAAATACATAAATGTATAAATAAATCCTTGTGCAAAAAAATATTATTATATTTATTTCCACATGGATTTATTTGCATGAATACAAATAAATACAGAATAAGAATAATAAAATAGATAAGAATAATAAAATATAATAAATATAATAATATAATAAATATATCAATAAAGAAACACTTTAAAATAAATATAAAAATAAATATATAATAAATAAAACAATAACAAATTAAAATAATAAAATAAATGCAAAAATAAATACAGAAAATAATAAATAAAGTGAAATAAGTAATACAGAAATTAATTCAGGAATAAATTTCATTATAAAAATTGTATCAAGCCATTTATTCGTATTTTTACATTTTGTTATTTATTTATTGTTCATTTCTTTAGATTTCTTCAGTGCCACCATTTATTTTCTTTCCAACGCAATTCAAAAGCCCCGCCCCCATATAGCGTCATCACAGAGTCCCCGCCCCTTTCTCGGTGGTGCGCGAGCCCCGCGGCGGTTTGTGGCCGGTGTATGTGTGTGTGTATCTCTTCGGGAGGACGACTTACTTCCAATTATCCCCTCTCACACAACGATTTTTCATCCCGTTTTCAGTGTCCCCGGGACCGAAGACTTCCATGGCTTAACGCGGAATCGTGTCACGGACTTTATTCGTTTATGAGTTTCTTTTCTGGGGAATTTTTCGCGTCTCTCAGCGAGCTAAGCTAGTTATCGAGCTCGCGAGCTAGTACGGGATTTACGTAAATTCTCCGCGTATGAAAGTTCCACGGACCAAACAATACTGGATAAATCCACTCGGAATTATTTATAAAGTCACTTTCAGTCCGGGCGGCTTGATAAGGAGAAGATAAAGGGCCACCGTTACCTCAGCGAAGCTAACGAGCTAATATGAAGTTAGCCAGCTAACGCTCTCGTGTGTAAGAAAACACCCTCCGCGCGAGCGTTTTCTAATGCCTAACATTGAATTTTGTCATTTTAATGTTGGGTTAATTAGGTCTTTGTGCTTCTGTTTTCACATTCAATGCCTGCTCTGTTTAGGGGAGTGGTGGGTTGATGGTCTGTCTAGCATACTTCAGTCAAACCCACTCACATTAATAATCTTCATTAGGGTTTAACAGTCACATTAGTGCGTTTTGTGCACGTTAATCTAGAAATCACTGCAATCTTAATCTAGAAACGCAAATGGACTGTTATTTTTGGGGGGAGTAACGTTACACGTTAACTGATCCAACAGGTTATCAGGATATTAGTGTTACTCGATTGTTTATTCGCCAGGCCTATGTTTGTTAAGGGGGGTGAGGATGAATTGTGCAGGGTACGAGGTGTAACAGGTCGAGTAGTGGACTGTCATCAGAAAATACAGACTTGTATGGAATTGGGCAGCTGTATTGGGTTTGGTTCGGCATCATGGGGGTCTCGCAAGGGGGCAAGAAATCAACTACATAGTGTCTAAGTACAGGCTTGTGGACGTAATGTAGTCGGTTTAGCAGAAGAGCCTCGTCTTTTCTTGATAGTTGATATTTTTGTCGTATTACTATGTGCATTGGTCTCCTGATAATTCATTAAAGTGAATTGGAGCAACAGGTCAGTCTGGATCAAGAAACACTGTCTTTCGTCTCTGGTTGGAGTAACACTCCCAAGCCATCCTCAATGCCTTCAGCGCTGGCCGTGTTCACCTGCCGCCCGAATTCACACCCGTTTCAGGAACGTCATGTCTACCTGGATGAGCCGGTCAAGATCGGGCGCTCCGTGGCCCGGTGTCGCCCTGCCCAGAACAACGCCACCTTCGACTGCAAGGTGTTGTCCAGGAATCACGCTCTGGTGTGGTTCGACCACAAGACAGGAAAGGTAAGTCAGGTGTTGTTGCAGAACAGGTCAGATTGGCTCGTAATTCAACTGCTTGTTTGACACACAGATGAAAAATGAACCTCGAGCTGTCTTGATTTAACAAGACTCTCTTCTCTCACTATCTGGCAGGTTGTCATAACTGTCTACATTAGGATTATATACGTACAGTGGTCCCCACCCAAAAATATTTAGACATTCTAAGCCACAATTAATGTCTGAATGTCGTTGCATTAAATGTAATAAGAGAACAAGCTTTTTACTTTTCCTAGCTAATTGACTTAAAATCAGCAGTTTTTTTAAATAGAGGGGGGATGGGTGACAAAATATATAAAATCAAGCCCTTAATAAAGGTTGATTATTTCAGTTTATTAATAATAATATTAAAATTAATTGTATGAATAATACATTAATTTAAGTACTTTTAAGTCATACTGTGGCCCTTGGAAGTGTGCTGAGGGCCCCTAGTAGGTCCAGGCCCTATGGTTGAAGACAATTAAAGCAGGCTTTTACTATCTTAAATAAGTAAATTACACAAGTTGACCTCTGCCTCTCTAGGGACGACATATTCAACATTGTACATTTTAAAGTTAAAAATCCTCCAACCCATTTTCAGTGTCCAAATTGAACAGAGTTAAATAGTCTTTGCATTGACTTGTACCTGGACTTTATAGGGGTCATCGGATGCCCATTTTCCACAAGTTGGTATGATTCTTTAGGGTCTTCATGTAAAGTTTGTAACATACTTTGGATAAAATTCCTTAATGGTCGTGTAAAACAACACCCTTTTTACCTCCTCTAAAACAGCTCTGTTCACAGCGACCTGTTTCGGTGCAAGTCTCTTTAAATGATAATGAGCAATATGGGAAATATGCTAATACGGACAGTCCGTCAGTGGTCGTGGGCGGAGCATGAGCAATATGACATCATATTGCTCAGAAAATTTTCAAACGGCTTGATTATTGAGTGTTTAGACTTTTTGAGGATTAAAAAAAGGAGTGAATTGATTTTTTCATTGTATGGTGGTTGTGTGTGTCCACACACTGCAAAGACACATTTATATGCAAACACCATATAAAAGTGAATTTTGCATCCGATGACCCCTTTAAAGTGGACTCAAGCCTCGTTTTACATCTACATTACACTCACACTGGTCCTTCAGGAATCCAAACAATTAGAATATAATAATAAAAATACTTATTTAATATTGTCCCCAAGACTGTTGCCATAGGCAATTGAATGGGGAAACACATTGACCCATAACATCTCTCGTGAAAGGTGACGGAGCATTTTTTACAGCATCTGATGAACTGTTTGAGACTATCATGCGTGACATTGCTGGTCTGTCTAACAGGAGTAAAACATTGCTGTAGCATTTCTATCCTCTATGTGTTGTTGAAAATCTAAAATGATGGCTCTTAATTCTGGTTTGGCTTGTGAAATTGGATGCCCAGGGTTTTTAGCTGCCTGGTACGTACATTAGTGTGGCTTTCACAGCGCCATGTGTGAATGAAAGTGTAAAATAATCCCGTTGAAAGCAGCAGAACATAGGCTGTAATATCAAGGTACATGCTCTTAGTGTGCGTTTTGGTTTAATGCTGGTAATGCACTGTGTTCTACTTTCAGATGACACGTTTTGACATTGCAAGTGCACATAACTTGTTTTCCCCCGTAGGCAAGCTTATCGTCGCTTTCAGAATATCTCCAACACACTGCAGTGGTTCTCTTTGGATGGTTAAAGAAAGATTTTGGGTGACTGTATATGTGATGCAAGTAGGGCTGGGTGATAAAACGATAATTATTATCGCAATGCAATTTTCCTCAATATAATTATTAGGGGTGTAACGATATTCGAACCGAACCGAAAAACCGCGATACAGAACACACGATTCGAATCGCGATACTCTCATTGCGTACCGAACACGCCCCTCCCCGCCCCCTGCTACCCCGGCCCCGCCCAGCCCGGCTCAATGGACCTCATGTCTTGTGTACAGTACACAACGAATTCAGTTTTGTAGCTAACCACCATTAACACCAAATAACAAGCTCCGTGTTTTGTTACTTTCGATAATAAGCAAGGTGTAATCTTTCAAATTTGTCTATTTGATACGAAATTCAAACAATAAATGGCGTTTTGGCGCTCTTTGATGTGGCGTGACAGATCGCTCTATGCCTACTAAGCTCCTCATTTCAAACGGCAACGCGGCGCGCGGGTAAACGCGATCATCTCTTCCTCAGTTACGGAATGGACACCTGAAGGTATGTTGAAAGATGCAGTATACTTACTGAAAGGCATCATAACTCGTGTAATCGCTCAATCAGTGTTTCAGCAGCGGAAAGACGTCAATAAAACAGCATAGCTTGTCACTAGCATTATATTTACCTCAACAGGCAAGTGATTCAGTGTCCACAACTTCCTATAAATGGTTCCTATAAATGAACTCTTGCACTAAATAAATGCACCATGTTAGCCTTTTTTAATTTTTTTTTTAATTTTACTTAACCTGTTAATGATATCTTGATTATTTAATGTATGTTTTAAATATCTTTCATGAAAATGACAACTGTGTAAAGTATTATATTTCAATAACAAATTAGAGTAAAACACAAGTTAATGCAAAAACTGCCTTGTGTTCAGTTTACATGTTTTCATACAATGTGTTGTGTGTTGATTATTATATCTAAAAAATAAATAGCATCTGAATTTAGGTTAAAAGTCTAGGCTACAACCTTTAATGTTATAGTAATGTGCGGCTCCCTATATAGTTTACAGATTTAGCAGATTTTTTTTTAATCCTTGTGAAACGTTTAATTGTAATTGAATTAATTTAAAGACAAAGACAATTTTTTCGTTAAACCACTGTTTAAAAAAGAAAAGGAAAAAAAAGAAGCAATTTTAGCTTTCTAAACCGAACCGAATCGAACCGAACCGAGACGTCAAAACCGTGGGAAAACCGAACCGTCAATTTTGTGTATCGTTACACCCCTAATAATTATAGCAAAAGTTTGATTGTTTATGCACCAAAAGTGGAATGAAACAGCGCTAATCATTTGAACCGCGCCACACGGACCATTTATCCGCTTACTAGAGCAGATGCGTTTACTCGCTGACCGGGAAAACTCCTGGTGCTCCACGTGTCATGGCCAGTCCACCCCTGAACTGCACCATGGTAATATTATGGCAGAAATGTGGTATATATTCATATCGAATTTTAAAAGAGTAATGGAATATAATTATAGAATTTTTTTGTAGCTGTAGCATTTCCGCATCTGTATTTATACAAAAAAATGTATTCCGGCTATAATTACATTTTACCATGGTAGTGAGGTGCTATATGCGTGCGTGGTTTTACCAATGGTTATCATGATCTATAGCCTAAATGTATGATGCTATAGATGACAAATGGTTCTTAAATAAATAGCTCAAACAGTCAGAATGTAAAAATTTGACCCTATGATGTTTAAATTTTTTACGTATTTACTGTTTTTGTTAAAGGGGTGGTTGAATATGATTTCACTTTTCTAACTTTAGTTAGTGTGTGATGTTGCTGTTTGAGTATAGACAACATCTGCAAAGTTACGACGCTCAAAGTTCAAAGCAAAGGGAGATATTTGCTTTTAAAGAAATAGTTTTTTAAGGACTACAACAAACGGCTGGTAGGGACTACACCACATTCCTCCAGGGTTAGTGATATCAGTGATTATCAAGACAGAATATGCTAATCAATGAGTAGAAGATAACTACACATGAGCTACATAAATTCATCAACTAATAAATGTCCTGTTGTTTCTACATGTTGTCACTTCTTCTTGAGTCTCTCCATTATTGTCTGACTCCATTTGAACATAAACATTGACATTTTCAGTGCATGTCTGTGTGAGGTAATAGGACACAAGCTGTTGAAGCTCCGCCCCCTGTGCTGAGAGCAGCAGCTCATTTGCATTTAAAGGGACAGACACAAAAACAGCGCGTTTTTGCTCACCCTAAAAAAGTACAACTTTAACATGCTATATAAAAATATATGTGGTTTTTTTTTTTAGCTAAAACTTCACATACACACTCTGGGGACATCAAAGACTTATTTTACATCTTGTGAAAAGGGCTTTTTACCACCCCTTTAATGAACATAAATTTGTATCCCAACTCAAGCTACTTGGCAAGCTATATTATTAATATTGCACCCTGCACTGCAAACTGTGCCGAAGATACACGTCATCTAAGTCAGCCAGGAAACACAAACTATCAACCTGCAGAAACTAATAAATAAATAATTTTTCTATTAGGATATTTCTTTTAAGGAAAAAAGACTGAAAAAATTATTTTACTTAAGTTAACTCGTGCATATTTTGATGAAATATTTTATCATTATAAATCTTTTGAATATTCTACCTCAGATTTGTGAAATGTTAACCTGTTTGGCAAGTTTTCTGACAATAAAGAGTGTTATAAAAACACATTTAACTGTCTGGTTTCTACAACTTTCATTCAAGATCGGAAATCTACCTTTGAAAGAAATAAAGATTTGACATTTATTGTAATGATTATTATCATATCAATATGGACTGATAAAACATTTTATTGTGATAATTCTTTGGCCATATCACCCAGCCCTAAATGTAAGGATATCTTTATTTGTTGTTAGTACAGTTTGCATGTGTAAAGAGGTTTTCTGTACGTCTGGCAGTGTGTAGGTGTGTTTTGCATGTGAAGAGGAAGTATTTGAGTGAAGTTTTACCGCCATCATTCTCGGGTATAATTTCTCAGCTGTTGTGAAATAATTGCAGTTATGGTTGCTAACTTCAGTCGTGTAGATTAAGGTGTGGTGTTTGAATTAAGGGAGTGCTGCACATTACAAAACCAGGTGAGGCAATTAACCCTTCACAAACAGCATTTGCTTTTACTGAAAAAGTCTAATCGGCTAAATATTACCAATACCAAAGAATGTTTATTAAAAAAGAACCGCAGGCTTTGATGTTGTAGCTAAAAATAAATTTTATTTAGT